GGGGCTGCGGGGGCTGCAGGGGCTGCAGGGGCTGCAGGGGCTGCAGGGGCTGCAGGGGCTGCAGGGGCTGCAGGGGCTGCAGCTCCACGACCGCAGCATCAACCCCACCGGGGGGCACATCCCACCCCACGGGACATCAGGTCGTGACCCTCCGGCCACCCCGCTCGCCCCCCGCACACCGGGGGTTTCGCAGCCCCCCAGAGCCCCCCGGGCTGTGGGTGCGGGGACTCCCAGCAATTCTCTGCCCTCCCCAGCAGCCTCCCGGCCTGGAGCTTTGCTGCCCTCTAGTCGGTCATTCCTCTCCCAAATCCTACACCCAATTTTTTTTTTTTTGGAGCTTGTTCCGTCTCCTCCCTGCAAACCCAGCGCTGAGCAGGAGTTTCCCTGCCTGGAACGGAGGGGGGATGATCACAGGGTGGGATGGGGACACATGTGTCCCCTGTCCAGGGGGCCGGGACGTGTGGCCGAGGGGAGCCAGGGGCTGGAGGCTGCAACGGATGAGACCTCAGCAAAGAGGCTGCAAAGGCAATTCCCAATAAAAAGCAATGGTTTTCATCTGACTCCTCCTGGCATTTTCCCTGCCAGCCCTCCAGCCGGACTGGGAAAGGCAGCTCAGGTGCTGACACTGCTCCCAAACCCTTGGATAGGCACAAATCGATGGGCTCCTTCCAGCTGCAGCCAGGAGCATCAGTTACTCTTCTAGCTTAAGAGGGGAGAGTGTCAAATTTGCACGAGTTAGTGGTGATTTGGGGGTGATCTCCTTTTTTTTCCCTGCCCATCTTACCACAAAGCAGCTCCCAGGGGTCAGCACCCTCAGCCCCAGAGCAGCCCCCCTTGATATTTCTCACATCCTTCCCCGAAGATCAGTCACATCACAAAGGTGAGAGCTGGGGCCAAAGCCGGTGCTCAGGTTCTCCATCTCCTCTCCCCCCGCAGAGTTCTCCATCAGCAGCTTCTGCTCCGTGGTGGACGTGATGAACTATTCCAGGCTGCAGGTCCTGCGGCTGGACGGGAACGAGATCAAGAGGAACGCGGTGCCCCCGGACGCCCCCCTGTGCCTGCGACGTGCCACCATCATCGAGATCTAGCCCAGCCCCTCCTGGCCCCCTCCCCATCCTCAGGACTTGGCTCTCCCGTTCCTGGGGAGACACTCACTCCCATTTTCAAGCAGCAGACTTGGCTTCCGCGCTAGTGCAAGAAGGGAACTCCCAACACCGGCCCAGGTGGGTGGGCAGGATCCATTTGTCCCCAGACATCCCCCATTCCTGGCTCTCTGGCTATGCTAGGTGGGACAAGTCCCAGCACATTTCTCCCTCTGACCCCACTACAGTCACCCCCTCATCCATCTCCTTCCCCTGGGTTGGGTGCAGTGGGGATGGGGGAGAGCTGATCCCACCTCCCAGGTGTGGCCCTGAGCAGCCACCTCAGGGTTCAGGGTTCAGGGTTCAGGTGTGGGTCCGGGAGCAACAGCAGAGCTGCACCAACTCACCCTGGGCCAGGTGCCAGTGGTCACCGGGAGGATTATCCAGGAGGTTGGGAGCTACAGGAGTAAAAGGTTAATGACCTCCTGGCTGACAGCATTCCCCAGCTGAGGATGAGGAAGAGCAAGCCCACTGTTCCCCCTACCATTTTTCCCCACTTCCACCAACTCCAGAAGTTTCCAGGAAGGAAACTCCTCCTGCCCCTGCCGAGCAGCTGCCAGCTGCTGAGGCTGGAGAGAAACACCCTGAGAAACAGCCTGTTCATGGACCCCTGTGGCCCAGAGTCTTCCATCTTCCTCCCAGGCAGGGGACAGGACCAGGGGCGAGGGCAATTCCTGGTGCCATCACCCTGGGCTGCAGGGGGGAACCTCCCCAAACCCAGCTCCATCCCACCCACCAGCTTGGCTCTGAGCTCCCTCCTTGCCCAGGCACCCGGGGCCTCCCATTTAAAAAAAAAACAACCCAACAAAACACCAACCAACAAGCACAAAACCCCAGTGACTTGTGCATCTGCAGCACGTTTGAATGGCCAAAAACACCCAGCTTGGTTCCTTGGACAGATTAGTTTGAGAACCAAAAGGGCAGCTGAGCTTTGGAGATGACCCGCCAAGCTGACGAGGTCATCCAGCCCCTCCCCATTTACACTGCATGCTAACAGTAGAGAAACAAAAACCCAAAAAAACCCTGTACTATCACCAACGCATGAACTGTAGGTACCGCACCGACCAATAAAGCCCTTTCTGTAACTGCACGAAGCGTGTCTGAGGAATCCCAAAGGCAGAAACCAGGGGCTGAGCATCCGAGCTGCTCTGAGCTCTGTCCCCTCCCGCGCACACAACCGGGGCTGGATTTGCCGTCTAGTGGCTGTTCCAGACACGACGTGTGAGTACCTCACCTTCCCCACGCTGGGGAGCTGCTGCTCCAGCACATCCCAGATGGGCTCCATGCGAGGACATTCATAGAAGGAGAAAATACACATGGAAAAGTATCGGTTGAGAGAGGGGCGGGATGGCGGTGCTACCGGCACAGTTATTTTCCAGATGCTTTCCTGTTCTCCCGTCTTCAGCCCTGCTTATTTTTAACAGCTAAGCTGGAGGATGCTTATAAAAAAAACCCCAAAATCCACATAGGCAGGATTTGCACAGACCTGGAATTGCACAGAAAGTGTCACTTCCCAGCCTGTGGCCTCTGCTCTGCACGCTGGGGTCTTGCTCTGCTCTAGGTTGGTGCCAGCAGGAGGTGGGACCCAGGGGTGCCCACCATCATCAGTACTTGCTTGGGCAGGGCTGAGCAAGAGGTGGGGTGAAATCCAGCTCCCCCCACCAAAGAAAAAGGGCTTGGGGGAGGTGAGGAGTGGTTGTGCCAGGCTCCCTCCAAGGCTGGCAGCAGAGGGGGAGTGGGAGGACGTTCCAGACCCCCACAGACATGGAGCTAGTTGGCTCCAAGGCATCAGATGCCTGTTGGAATCTGGGACCAGCTCTTTCTGCCATCAGCCCCCAGGACAGGTACCACAGCCCATTGTCCTCCTCCTTCCCGTGGCAGGACCCAGCAGGGCAAGCAAGAGAGGGACAGGACTACAAGCCCCCACCGTGTCTTCATGCTGTATAAAAGCAGCAGGGGAGGATGTTTGCAGGATCAACCTACAAGCCAGCAGAGAACCACCCTCCTCCTGTGCTCAGGAGCTGCCCTGGTGGCAGCACACACCTTGTTCCCAGGCCAGCTTCTTGCCCCAGAGCATCCACACCCTTTCTCAAATCAACACCAGCCTGCAGGAGCCAAAGGGGCTGGCGGGGGGGGGGGGGTCCAGAGGTGGTTTGTAGGGACCTGGCAACAGGGTCTGATAGCAACAGAGCAAAACCCAGAAGAAGGAGCCACTCACTGCTGCTTCCAGCAGCTGCTTTATCCAGGCGGGGGGATGGGGGAGGCTGATGTGCACCAGCTGGGGCACTGGGTCTGCATCCCACAGGGCTGGAGGTGAGGGGGCAGAGGGTCAGTGCAACCCACCCTGCTTCTCCCCCTCCTCTCCCCCAGAAAAGGGAGACTCTATTGGTCCTGGGCAAGCCCTCGGGTGCCCAATCACCGCCTTGTTGTTGTGGTGGGGATAGCAGGGATGGGGGCTTGGCCCCCCTCCTCCTCCCTTTCCTCCTCCTCCTGTTGCTGGGAGGAGGTGTGGGGTCCTGGAGGCCCCAGCAGCCTGTATCCCACCAGAAAGGGGGGGGGGGAGTGCAGGGCTTTGTCCAGATCCACAGAGAAGTGTAAAGGAGGAGGACTCCCCAAACCAACTGAAAAACAGTTCCCCAGCCCCCTGGAGCTGTGCCCCAAGCACTAGGGCCTTCTTGTGGGGCTGCTGCAGGAGGTCCCAGCAGCTGCAGCCCCTCCAAAGTCACATTTGGACTGTGGGCTCCTCCTAAGGACTCTCCCTGGGTGGGAAGTAAAAGACACCCAC